AGACACACGCTTGATTGGGGCATGGGCATCAAAAACAGGTACGAAGAACGACAAGAAAGCATGCCACTTGTCACTGACAGTTTCGGCAGAGAAGACATAATCCCAGTCGACATCGAGTAAGTCGTGATACAGTGCAGGGTGATCTAGGCGCTTAAAAGAGCGAGACGAGATAACGGCGGGCTTTTGACGCACTTTCGGCACATTGACAATCACGTCGATGATTTTATGGGGACTGAAGTGACAATAATTAACGCTGGTGTCACACACAAGTTCGCGTTTGTTAACAATACATACATCCAATAGAGAGCCGGAGGTAAAAGTTGGATTTGTTACTAGTTGATCTAAAGAATAATTCGATAAGAAGCTGATCAGATGTTGAGACGCGCGGAAATTCGGCCCCTTCAATAGGTCACAGTTGAGGTCCCCGCAGAGAACGAACGGAACTCTGGGGTAATCGATGAGGACCCGCTGCAGCTGGGCCTCGAGGTCCGTGAAGTCGGCGAGCAGGGCAGCCTCAGAGTGTCGGGGTGGCCGATAAAGGGAGCAGATGATTATCTGTTGGCCCTTGTCCAGCTTCAGCAGCGCCCACTGCGACTCCAGCTTGCTTTCGGAGCTCCCGCTGCCGGGGATCTTCAGTGTCATTGACGTCAAACTGTTTTTAGTGATGATGGCTACGCCGCCATAACCGCTGCCATCTGGGCGGTCCACACGACTGAGCGAGTAGCCCGGAATGACCAGGAGGCGTTTCGGGGTAGACGGACGTAGCCAGGTCTCGGAAAGCACCATTACGTCGTAGTTGCGGCGAGCGAGTTCGCAGGTCAGCTCTTGAAGTTTGGGTTTGATACTTTGAATATTTAGGGCGCCGATCAGCAATTTGGGCGGGTCGGTCGGCCGGCTGGACTGGAGAGTCCTCGATGCGGGGCGGGGTCCACATGCCGCTTCCGCAGGGCTGAGGGGGCGTGATCGATTAAGACAGCGGATGAGATACGCGGGAAGACTGCGCCGGATAGTCTCGGCTACTTCACGAGTGGTGTCGTTGCTTAGTCGGTCACGCACCGCCATCAGATGTGCCCGGTCGTATGCACGTCTGGCAGATTCAGCAGTGTGATCGTCCCGTCGGTGGTCGCTGGCCGGTGTTTGGCACTCTACACGGCGAGACCCGTTCGGGGCCCCAGTGCCGGAAGCAGTCAGCTGTCCGCTGCTCCCATGTCCCCTCGCACGCCGAGCGCGCCAGCCCGCGCGGCGGCCGCGCCGAGCGGGCCGCCGGGGCAGGGGGGAAGGGTCGGCCGGCATTGTTCGTTTAGCCGGCTACCGGCGTCTCAGGCGCCGGCCGGTCCCGGTAGGGGTTGGTCGCCATGACAACCGAGGACGGTTGGCAGAGGGCGGAGAAGTCGTTGAAAGCATCCGCGTCGGAAAGGAAATAGTCCTGCAGATATTGGCGATTTTCTTGCAAGCGAGAGCAGATAGACGCATAAAAATAACACCGTTGGATGCGTCTTTCAAAAATGCATCAATCTTCAACTGACAATGATTGCGTCTCTACGATGAATTTTCTGGTGGCTTCACGACAGCAGCACGGGTGACGGGTACCAAAAATTTTAAGCAATGAATAATATCCAGATCAGTTCACTCACAGGTCTGGTGACTTCAATGCAGATGCAGAGCAAGTAGTAGAACACTGAGAACACATGATTCCAATCACACCGAAGTTTTTCCCGCTCAAAATGCTAAAAAACCGCGGAGCGGCCGGGGTTCGCCTGTATAGCGCTCGACCCGGCGCGCGACATTTTTAGCCAGATCACGAAACCGGAAGTGTACGTTTCCGGTCTGGCAGCTTTTGCTGCCAAGCGTATCTTACATAGTCAAAAATTGAGTGGTTTGTCACATTTCAAAGCACAAACATATCAAAACCGCGAGGAAATGATCTTTCGATACCAACAACCTTTGCCACAGAGTGTCTCCTGTTGGTGCATGTACAATTTTCACGAACTTTTTTATTAACGTACCAGATATGATCTTGAATATGTGTAATTGTTCGGATTTCCATTCGACCGTAGCCTGCAAATAACGACCGTAGCCAATAATTCTCAAGAATAATGAACTCAAAATCCAGACCTCAGCTAACAGTTCAGTTCGTTCTGAGAGATCATGTTCTTTCTCTCATTATTTCCATAGGCGGCGGAACGGGGAGGGCACCGGGGCACCGTGCCCCCCTTTGATTTTGGCATTTTAACATTAGCCCTATGGGCGTTGCATGGAAAGAATGGGACCAAAAGTCGGCAGTGCCCCCCCCCCCTTAATTGAAGGTGTTCCGCCGCTACTGATTATTTCAGCTCACACGTGCTTCCCCTCCCCACAAAATCTTATATAGGATGCGACGAAGGTTTTGATGACTTCCGTCGACCGTTTATTTAAAGCAACTTGGCGTGTTTCCAATGTGCTCCTAAATATCGCGTTCCTTTCAACGAATTGTGTCCCTGAGTCTTTCTCTGAAGCGGAGATTATCTGAAAAGCTGACCTTTACCAATGGGGGTCACTGGCATGGGTAATTGTTTAACCATTGAACGGCGCATTTACTGAACGTCTAAGCATGAAGGTTTAGCTTTACAGTTGAGAGGTTCGTAGTTGCGCTGTTGGCATGCTCCAAGCTGGCAAGTGGCAACACATGGAAGGACGCTGCCTCACACTTCTAAGCCCCCGTTTTCACCAACAAGCGCTGGTGGAAGAAGTTTATGGACAAGTAGCGTCACGCATAGCCCCAATCAGCATGGTCCTCCTGCGTCTCAACCGTCGCCAAGATCGTCATGAAGAAAGCACCTGGGAAGTCTGACCGTTCTGCGGAGAATCTGAAGTCTTATTCATAATGATCACTCGGATAATGTTGTCCATTGATAAGGGAGGAATGCCCTTGGACTGAAGGCGCTTGACTATTGGTGCGGCCAAAATAACGAAAATCAGCAAGCCCAGAGCCCTCAGATTTGCACGAAACGGAGAATCTGGCCGGTAGAAGAGTGGAAACGGAGTAGGTATGTAGAAGCGGGTCTAGTTCGGCGACGAGTCTCCGTTTCAATGGATTCACCACACAGACCCCCAAAACGAGCATGGGCTGAAAACGCGGCCCAAGTTCCGACAGACTTCTGCGAAAAATTCTCGCCGCAATGGTATGTCGAACGATCACGATGTCCTAGCAGGGCCTGAGCTGAACCAGCTGGACGTGATCTAGCAAAAGACGGAGTCGATCCCGACTACTACCTAGAAAACATACTGAAAAGCGTGCATTTGGCATTATAAAGTCCACTACCCCGTGCTCCAACGGCGCATGGTGTCCCGCAGGTCGGACAGCATTTTCATGCTGGACGGTACCCCATCTCATCGATCTTCCGGAACTAGGTGGTGCCAGGACCGGCTGTCCGATATCTGGGGGAAGGACACTTGGCTAGGAACAGTCCTGGCCTAAATCCAATCGAATTATTTTGGAGGATAGTGCAGCAGGAGCTGGACATATACAAACTTTCCGGCGACCACGGACAGCTCGGAAGGGCGCTCAAGTCCCACGCGCCCCTTTTTCACATGGAGGACGTCCCTTTAATCTTAATAGGCACCCCTCTTTCCCATGTAAGCGCCCATTTGGTCATCAAAGGCGCCCCTATATGTCTCAGAGGCGCCCCTCTTTCTTGTGCAATGCGCCTCTTTTTCATATGCAATGCGCCCCTCTTTCGCATAAAGGTGCCCTATGGACATTACATGCACCCCTATGACCTTACAGGTGTCCCTCTTTCTCGTAGAGGGGCCCCATTGGGCTTCATAGGCGCCCCTCTTCGGCATGCAGGCGCCCCTCTTTCGTGCAGATGCGCCATTATGGCCATGACCTTCGTAGGCGCCCCTCTTTTGCATGGGGGCGGGAGCGGGGCGGGGGGCGGGGCGACCCCATAGTTAGGCCTCAAAGGCGCCCCAACAGGCCTAGCAGGCGCCCCTCTTCCCGTTCATCTATAGAGCCACGGCACCACCTTCCCTTAGGCGACGGCGCGCCCCTTGAGGGATGGAGCCTCTGATGACAGTTTGTCCGCACCACTCCGTTCAACGTCCCTGCTTCAGCAATGGCGGAATACATTACACGCCTGGTAGTGCGTTGGTATGCAATACTCTGCAGACAAGAATAAATAGCAGAAACCCCGGTAATGACCATTTTTGGAAAGGCAAAGAAATGGGGCATTACACTATGAGCCATAAAGCCAGACATTGTTGCTCACTCACGAATGGCATAGCAAAAAGGACGTAACTGCTCCATTTTTGACTACGTAAGATACGGTTGGCAGCTTTTGCTGCCACTTAAATATAACGCACGATTGGCGATGCTTAGAGAAATTGATGTCGCACCTAAGCTCTTCCCATTGATAATCACACATTTCTTTACAATAATCAATAATAAAAAGGTAACATTTATTCACACCACCTTCGCAACTGACTTTTTTGGTGTCCGCCGCACGACCGCAATCGCGCGCCCCTTGCACCCCCGCGATAAATTGTTTATTTCTCAGCACGTTCGCTTTCTCGATCAATAATTCGGAGCGCACATGACGTGCATTGTTTTGGTCTTCCATACGGGTGAGAAGTTTGAAAGTTCACCGCAACGTTTAGGAATGCGGCGCTATTTTGTCCTGTGGCAGCAAAAGCTGCCAAGCGTATCTAATGGGTTAAATGTAAAAATACAGTTTCTTTCTACACAGCAACTGAAAGAAACCTAAGTGACTTGTAGCCGAAGGTAGGTAAGAAAGCATCAGACGTGTAGGTACCTATTAGATACGATATTAAGTAGACACCTATCGCACCTATCCTGCAAAGTGAGCAAACATGAAACAGCTGACTGAGACAGCTCGGCCATCGGTCCTCGGCTATGTCCGGTGTCCACCCCTGCTGGCGAGGTGCTGGCGATCACGAAGCCCCTCCGTCGCACAGCTGTGCCGCTCCCATCACATGTGGGACCAGCTGGAGGCACCGGCGACACTCATTACTCTAATGACGGTCCGATATTATCGGGCCGTTTGGCAGCGCAGGGCTGACGGTGACCGTCCGTCTGTCCGTCACTACGAAACAGACCATCCGACAGGCAACACCATGGCTACGGGATACCTCCGCGTCACTCTGGTCGGCCTCGCAGCCATCGCACTGGTAAGAAACTGAGGAAGGATCGGGTAGAATGGGAACTAAGAGGAACGAAAGAGACTGGTTAGGGACTGCGTCGTTTCTTCTTGAGACGTGGATGGTAAGATAGACGGATAAACGGGAAGACCTGATAAGGAACTGCATGGCTTACTCTCGAGAAAGGAACAGACATAACTGAACTATCGACAAACGTGACTGGTGAGAAACTGTGGGAGGAAAAACGACGAAAACATCGGTAAGAACTGACAATGAGCAGACTCACTCTCGGGAAAGGAATAGCCAACTCCAACAAGGAACTGAGGACGGAGGAACCAGAGAAGCTGGTACGAACGGACGAGACCAGTAAAAACTTAGGTAAGAAAACGGGCAGAGCTGATAGCGAGCTGGAGCCTGGAAGGCAACAGATCGGCACGATAATGAACTGCAACTGGAACCGGACGGGACTGGTATAAGCACTCAGCTTGGAAATAAACGGGCAGTGGTGAGGAAAAATTGGGCAATAAATGTAAAAAGAAACACGTTTAGTCGCATAACCTCCTTTAGTCTGTGTCGGATAAGTCGCTAGTCCCGACATTATCCCGTCCTATGCAGGCGACGGTGTGCACGGGCTCGACGGAGGGTGAGCTGCTGGTGAACCGGAGGGCGCCCTCGGTGGTCGAGGTGCTGGACCGCCACATCTTCCAGACCGACTACCCCGATAAGGACTCCGTCCTCCAGGAGATGGCCAAAACTGCCTACGTCGACGTCATGTGAGTTGCCATTGTGATGACAAGGGACGTGGACAGATAGCTTAAGTAGATGTCTACACACGACAGATGTTCGAAAAATATGGCCAAGTTGTTTTTTGTCTTGAAGTCTTATAGGAAGCTCACGCGTATGATCGGTTTCAAGGACCGATTTATGCACTGGCGGATCCAGACTTGCGTTTTTGGGGGGGGGCCAACTCCTGCAAGTAACCAAACCTAGGGTACCCCCAAATCCTGTTTTCTCATCGGATTTAGGCCACTTATTTTTTCGTCACAGCCCTGAAACGATATTTTTTTTTAAACTAAAAATAAAAAAATATACAAATGGTAGCCCACCCAACCCGAGCCTAAATATTACTTTGAAAACACTTCAAATTGCTTTTGTCGACCAATTAGCCCGCTCCGGGTCGGTGCGTGGCGCAGCCTCCGCGGGCTGGGAGGTGTCGGTTGGACCCCCTGCCGTTCTTCGGCCCCTGATTAAGCTAGAGCTCGCGGAAAAAACAGGCGTGTTGCCCGTGAGTGACGAGACGAAGCCGATGATACCCGATTTTAAGGTCCTTGGTCATTGGTTGACCTTCCAGGGCGGTGTTTCACGGTCGTGCTGACAGCCGCTGACAGCGCATTCCGCGAGCTAAGGTCAGCCTTCGGTAGTGTTGTGGGTATAGGCTTGTTGATGTCTCCATTGAAACCAAAAGTGCCATCAGCGCTGGCAGCGGCTGGCAGCGTGCCGTGAAACACCGCCCAGGTCAGGTCACAGACCCAAAAGACGGGAAAATCAGGACCTGTCAGAACCTCCTAAAGTAAGGCTGAAATACGTTTTTTTGTGCTGATCACAAATTTCATGTTAGTTTGGATCATAGATAATGTCTTCATGCGTTTAGGCCATGTCGGGGCAGGTCAGGTCAGATCAACCAGTAGGGGTACTTATGGGCGTCCGTATAGCAGGTGTCCACTACCACTGGCAGCTACGTAACATGATACGAAGGCATCAAAACTACTTCGTAAATGTTCAAATGGCTGCAAAATGCTAAATTCAAAATCAGCTAAACGAAACTATCCTAGAAACATGCTAAACTCGGAAAAGTGCACCGAGGTCATCAAAGGTCAATGACCTGACTTGACCGTAAGGTGGCATTGGCATCCGCCCTAATGCGTGGGAGCAACATCATATCACATGTTTGAGCGTTTTAAACCACGAAAAAACTATAAAAGCGCGGATAATGTGAGCCGACATACGCCGAATCGCTATTCCGGCCAAACATGGCCTCCAACATGGCCAAACATATGGTGCGTTCGGAGAGGCACATTCCACGTGGAATCCGTTGAATATTCCATGCGCGCGGAATATTTCCGGAGATTAGCCGTTCAGAGAGATGATACGCCTCCGAACGCGCGGCACGGGGAATATTCCCGGGGACGGTGAATATTCCATGCTCTCCGAACGCACGGATAGTCTCGAGAAATAGGCCACAAGTCAAAGTTCACTTGGGTCAGGGTCATAAAATTTTCAGACTTTGTCACCATGAGGGTACTAAAGTTTCGTCGCGATCGGCTTCATGATACCTTACACGATAACTTCACACGTCGATCGAGAGTTAAAGCATGGATGAAGGAGAACCTGGGGATGAAGGTTCTTTCATCCATGGTTAAAGTGTGCAATAAGAACTTCTTGGGTGAAGACAAGACCAACACTTTTATCAAGCTCACAGATTTTTAATGATACGGTATTTTCTCTCTACCTACTACGCCCTTCTCACATTCATTTTTCTTAACCCGCGCCCTGATGGGGGGGGGCCATTTTGCCCCCCCCCCCTGTGGTTTTTCTTAAATAGCGAGAAAACGGCGGCGCGCAGCGCCGCCAAATTTTGGGTACCTTACCGGACATCAATTTGACACCTTCACACAAAATTTCAAGTCACAGGTCACCTCAGGTCAGGAGTTATTGAGGTCAAACTGAGGTCATGTTCGAGTAAAAATGAGCAATAAACATGACATCTTGAAACGCTCACCAATTCTACAGTTAACAAGCAATTTTAAAGTTCTTTATGTGGTTGTGTAGACAAAAGACGGGGCTACAAAACTGCTATCTCGGATTTTCGAAATTTTTGGATTTTGACCCCCAAAAATCAAAAAAATTGATTTTTTTTAGAAAAACTCAAAAAATTTCCAAAAAAAATTCGAATTTCGAAAAAACCGGAATATATGTGATAGTCCCTGCGCTCTTCGATATACATACCAAATTTTAGATCGATACCTCTTTTTTTGGCCAAGTTATAGCGAAAAAACTGTTAAAAATTGATGACGTCAAATTTTTGAACTCAATTTTTAGCAATTCTAGACCTCGTAGCGCAAAACGGAGACCACCATTGAACTCCCCGTGACGAGCTGCATCGAATCGATACCCATTTTATGCAAAAATATCAACTTTGAAATTTGACCTAATTTGACCTGACCTTGACCTGACCTTGACCTGACCTTGACCAAAACGTGACCTAAGCTGGCCCTAAAGTCTGTCTGACCCACATAATCGCATTTGTCATGTAAAATGGACCATAAAACATGTATCACACGACACTTTCATATTGTGACCCCCCAGTGACCTGACCTCTGTGACCTGACCTGGTATCAGTGACCTCAAATAGCAAAATATGTGTTTGAAGAACATTTCCCCATCGATGATTTTCAATGAAATGCATTTTACACGATTTTACAACGCATTTCTTGAAATGCCTGTAAACGGTGAAAATTCGACCTTTGACCTGACCTGTGACGTCATCGGTTTGACCGAGGTCAATGAAATTGGGTCACAAGGTAGTTCCCCGTTGGGGCTATCCAACACCGTTTACCGCTTGTCGCTATGTTGCGTGGTTCTCGAGATCTGAGGGGGGGGGCCAAAATGGCCCCCCCCCCCCATCAGACCGCGTTGCTCGGCAGACCCCATCTGGGCGCGGGTTAAGTGTTTTTGGGGACAAAAAATATATGTTGTTCCCCTTTCAGGCTTGGGGGCATGACCCCGTGGCCCCCCTGGATCCGCTAGGCCGAAACTAACTAGGTCGTTTTCAAACGGTCTGATATTTCAGGTCATAGTTTGCAAACGGCCGGTGTTTTCAGGTAGTTTCATATGGCCTGACTGGGCCAGGCCGTTTGCAAACGGACCGAATTTTCATACGGCCTGTAACATATATTCAGATTTCGACATCTGTCGTAGCATCAAATGCTGATGTGGCGCACTCAAAAGCCGGAATTGGTCCTTGGATGCCGTAAGGACCCTTTTAAGAAATAAGTGACCCGACTGACCCTTAGAGATTGGCCTGAGCTGTGACCGAAATAAGTCTTTTACCGTTTCGCAGGAAGGGACAAAAAGGTCCCTCATATGCTTCTTGTACAATTACGAAACAAAACAAGTTTTTTTTTCAACGAAAACTCAGTGAGTTTTCCTAAAAAATTTATTGCGCATATTCCGTGAATGAAAAGTTGCCGGGTCATGTCAGGTCAGGCTGCCACAGCAAGTTTGTTAACTTGACAGCTCAATCGATATTTATGCAATAAGACCTTCTCGGGTGACGATAAGACATGACGACACTTTATGAAGGAAGCTAGTAAACCCGGTAGTTTCTCCATAGGCGCGGGAACCGGGGGGAGGGGGCAGTGGTGGCAGCTTGCCCCCCCCCCCCCCAACTCTGGGGCCGTGCGGGCGGTGCCCCCACAACTTTCAGACAGAATACCGCTCCTTTTTGCAAATGTTTTCTTTTTTTGTTGAAAAAGCCAAGGGATGAAAAATAAGTGGCCTAAAACCGGCGAGAAAACTATATTTGGGGGATCCTAGGTTGATCTCTATCATGGTGTGACCTCCCCCCCCCCCCCGTCTAAAAGTAGTTCCCGCGCCCCTGGGTTTCTCTACGCTATTGAATCACGCTGCTGATTCTAGTAAGTATCTACTACACAACCTTCTCACATTAATTTTTCTTCGAGCGTTTTGGGGGGCCAAAAGATATGTTGGCCCCCTCTTTCAGGCTTTTTGGGCCCATGGCCCCGGTGGCCCCCTTGAATCTGCCAGTGGGGGCGGTGCCCCCACAACTTTCAAACGGAATACCGTCCTTTTTTGCAATTGTTTTCTTTTTTGTTGTTGAAAAAGCCAAGGGATGAAAAATAAGTGGCCTAAAACCGGTGAGAAAACTAGATTTGGGGGGACCCTAGGTTGATCTCTATTATGGTGTGCTCCCCCAGTCTGAAAGTAGTTCCCGCGCCCCTGACTTTCTCTACGCTATTGAATCACGCTGCTGATTCTAGTATCTACTACGCAACCTTCTCACATTAATTTTTCTTCAAGCGTTTTGGGGGGCCAAAAGATATGTTGGCCCCCTCTTTCAGGCTTTTGGGGGGCCATGGCCCCGGTGGCCCCCCTGGATCCGCCAGTGGGGGCGGTGCCCCCACAACTTTCAGACGGAATACCGTCCTTTTTTGCAACTGTTTCTTTTTTTTTGTTGAAAAAGCCAAGGGATGAAAAATAAGTGGCCTAAAACCGGTGAGAAAACTAGATTTGGGGGGACCCTAGGTTGATCTCTATTATGGTGTGCTCCCCCAGTCTGAAAGTAGTTCCCGCGCCCCTGACTTTCTCTACGCTATTGAATCACGCTGCTGATTCTAGTAGGTATCTACTACGCAACCTTCTCCCATTAATTTTTCTCCAAGCGTTTTGGGGGGGGGCCAAAAGATATGTTGGCCCCCCCTCTCAGGCTTTTGGGGGGGCCATGGCCCCGGTGGCCCCCCCTGGATCCGCCAGTGGATTTATGCTGACTAAACCTGGCAACGGACTTAACTATATTTTGGGGTTAATGCAAGATAAATTCTCAGCGAATGAAATACTAAAGCAGCTCGAAATGAACATTGGCTGGGCCTTTCTAAATCAAATAAGAAAGCATGCAAACGTTCTAATGTTTTCTTTGAAAACATTCAAAGAAACGTTCTAGCTGAATATAAAATATATGCGTTCAGTTGGAAATTACTACCGTGAACTTACTGGATTTTCAGCCTCACAAACGTTAGTAAGACAAAAAGACATAAATAGTACTTAAGTTTAACTGAAATGAATTTACGTTAACGCCTCTTGACGCCATTTTTTCGTGTTTTCCAGGTGTCAAGGATGTGTGTTCGGGGACGACAGCTGTGGCCCGGAGGAGAAGGTGTCATTTGCGTTATAAATAATTTTGCAGAGAAGTGAAGGAAAAACCGTGCAATATGTGCTCCGTGTTGGTATGGATAATGAAACGCTTTTACCATGCCATTGTGGCGGCTTAGAGCTAACACTGTCGTTTGATAATCCTTCAAATGTCACTGCATGCATACCCGCTGAGACAATGATCATCATGACGGCTCTCTTTACTTTGGATATTATTAAATCCAAGTCTGTGCAAAAGCCATGTTGACATCATGTATTGAGAACGGAACCCCTCTTAATCAGTGATCACAGCGGTGTAGCCCACACATAGCGGGGCTTGAGTCAAGGTTTTCGGGAGGGTAACGGTACATACGATCCTAACATTTGCAATGTGATTAGCAATGAAGTGTGAAGAATGGGAACAGCGATTGCATTTTCGCAACTCCTGTGGAAAAAGCCAATGAATATATTTACGTGTCCGAAGTGTGTCTCCCACTTCCCATGCAGCTCTACTGTAAACTTTCACATTTTTATTGTATTTATTATACCTACGAGTATTTGTTCACGAATACGTGATTTCCTTCCTCGTATAATGTTCACAGTAGCTATTCGCGTTTTAAAACCATCGTTATTTTCTATGCTTTATATTCGAGCTGCTACCGGTTATGATTCGATACTCAGCAATCAATTAAAGTTCTGTAACAATTAGTGAATGAAAACATAGTTACGGTTCAGAATTCAGATGAAGTCTCATTGGCTCTTAATCGAATTGCGAAAGTTTGTAAATAAAAACGTAACTTTTACTCAGCCTAACAAACCGTGACAGATATTAGAAGTCAGCCAACAAAAGTACCGTAAAATCTCAGCATGCAATCCCCAATAAAGTGCGCATTAATCACGGATCGTTCGGCGGGGTGCTCGGGCAGCGTTCACGGTTGATCGCGCGCGTGACCGGCCGGTCAGCGGTTCGCCGTTCCGCTCGGCAGATCACCTGGGCCGGCAGCGCTGACTGAGAGAGACTCGGGAGACTGCTCAGAGACTGGGGAGACTGCTGAGAGACTGGACGGGAGACTGCCGAGAGACTGCTGAGAGGCTGCCGGGGAGACTGCCGCACTGTCTAGAAGCTGCCAGCCATAACTGTCCGGGAGACTACGAGTGCTGCCAGGGAGACTGCCAACGCTGCCAGGGAGACTACGAGCGCTGTCAGTCTGCCAGCGCTGCCCGGAGAGTGCCAATGTATCAGAGTGAGAGGCGGTGAAGGCGACCCGGTGACCCCACGGACAGTGCAGCAATGCCAATGTGAACCCGAGCGGCCATATGACGCCGGATAGGTGGTCGGGAGACGGGAGCGAGGCCCGGTCACAGAGCTTACCCAACACGGTCAATGGGGACGAAATTGAGCCAACAGAAGAGTAAAAGATGGTCTGTTACAAAATCGAAAGGCCTTTGGTATCAAGACATTCAAGCTGAGTTCATGTTGCAACCACAGTGTATATAAATAGTTAGTAGCAACCATCCAACAAATCATTTTTCTTTTGACGGAGATAGGGCCAAAATCGGAAATACCTAGCAGATGTTTTTATAGATAACGTAAGTTAGCAACAATCATATCATTTCTAACGCCATTATTTCACCTTTCTTTAGTCATTTTTCCCTTTCTTTTTATTTAGATTATTACAGAGGTGTCCAATACAAAGGTAGGGTGGGAACGGGGAGACATTGTGTTGAGTCGACTTCCGAGTGATGCGCCACCGAGTGACCGGGTCCATGCTGTTTTGACAGGAGAGCGAGGATGAGACAGGCCATCCGTCCCAACAAACGGTTATTCCTGTATCTATTGTTATTTATTATTATTTGCTGAAGCATCTTCTCCCGTTTGACTGCTAAGGGGTGACTGTCAGCCCGCATCAGTGCATTATTGTATGGTGAATGATCTCGGATCAGCTCGGATCAGCCCGGATCAGTGTATCACATCAAGTATGGTGAATGTGATGTGCTGGTCTTTTTTATATACAGGACTGATGACATTTCTATCGCTTTGTCTGACACTGACGCCTGTAAATTGTAATAGTTACACGTACGTTTTGGATTACGAGTTTTACAGGGCCAACAATCCATGAGTTGACAAATCAGAACACATCAAAATGACAATGAAAACTGTGCCACCACTACAATACGATATGAACTCCGCATGTGACACGGCTTTAGCAGCGTCTCTGGCGCTGAATGAAGGGCAGAACACACCGTTCGCGCGGATAGGTCGGATTTGGGTCACGCCATCGAGGCATTGGGCCACGTATTAGCTACCACATACGACAAAAAACATACGACCGACGTGGCCGTCATGGTGGGAATGGTTCAAGTGAATATCTGCTCGGATAGATAGTGGGCCATGATGCATCACCGCGGTGATGCATCATGGTACCGCGGTACCAAACGAACGTACCCATTCAGCTTGCAAAAACGTTCAGTTGATGGACATCAGTTTGCAGCCGAACGAACACGTCTCCATGCTACAACGCTTTGCTGAATTTATCTTGCGAGTTTTCTTTTGTTCGGAGTGTGCTTATTATCATACCAACTCGTTTTATTCGCCTTTTATGTAGCTTGTATTATATAGAATATGCATGACGGCATGTATGCACAGTTGTGAGAAATATGTGTCCGATGTGCGTACATGCCGAACGCAGGTGGCTTTGTACCTACGCTGCGCTTGTAAGTTGGGGTCAACTGTTCATCAATAAATCATAGATGATGTCTTTGACCAATGTAGGATAAGACACTGGTCCCAGGGCGAAAGTCGTCAACATGAAAACTAGGTCGGGCTTGTTCTGCGAGTGCTATTGGAAAATATAAGAACAACGGTTTGTTGTCGGGTCGTAGTTTTTTTATTTTTAATGTATGCCTGCCTGTTAATTTCGAATGGGATAATGAAACAAACCAAATGCTTATTTGTAATAATGATCATCGCAATTCAATTGATTGGAAAAAACTTGAACTGATACAATGGACAGCCTTGTCCCAGTCAAGAATATGCAGCGACATACGGCTTACAATGACGTGCAACTAGGTAAGCACTTCTAACTGTTTGAGATCCTATAACTCTACTGTTGAAGTCTAGATTAACTTACACTCTTCCCCGAGAAAAACACGGGCGCAGTTGTCAACTGATCGGCATGAAGCTGACCATATCGCTCCCGTGGAGCCCTTCAGCGGCCCCCTAGGCGACGCGGTACATGCGGCACGCCTTGAATCCGGTGAAGAGCAGGCCGGAGCGCCAGATGCCCACCACGCCGTACACCAGGTTGTAGGGCGTGTCGATGTTCCAGTTGTCGCTCCAGCCGGTGCGGCCGGCGCCGGAGCTGCGCGGGTCCTGGGTAAAGCAGTTGTCGTAGTTGACGCGCCAGTTGGCCATCAGCAGGTTGCACTTCATGAAGTCGGTGGTGGTGAACCAGGCGCTGTCCGGGTCGGCGAGAGCGGTCACCACGTGGTTCGGCGGGCAGAGCCGCTGGGTGGTGTCGGCGTCCAGCTCCACGGGCACCACGGCGGCCACCTCCTGGGAGACGCGGAACTCGGTGCCGTACCTGCGGCGGAGACAGGAACGCGTCAGGGGTAGTATGCGAGCGCGGGGCAGAGTCAGGTCTGGTCGAGGGGTAATCAAACCTGGTCTGGGAGGGAGGAGGCAACGTCCTGGAGGGCTGGTCTGAGGAGGTATACATGTGAGGACTGGTGTGAAGGGATTGTGCACGGTTGGTCTGCGGAGGGTCAGGGGTGAGCTGAGGGAGGGCGAGAGACATGTCTGGGATAAAGAGGGGTAGCTTCAGGGTCGCCCGGGCCGGTCTGAGAGCGGCAATGTCGGGGCTGGTCTAGGGAGAACAGCAGACGCATGGCATAAATATATAGATAGGGACTCGACTCACATGTAGCAGCGGACGTAGTCCAGGTCGTTGACGGTCGTCTCGGCGTTCTGGATGCCGGTGAGGATGTAGCGGCTGCACTGGCGCTCGGCCACGGTCGTCGGTCCGTTGCAGTCCAGTCCCCAGCGGTAGTCGGGGTCGGCGGACACCTCTGCCGGGTAGCTGGCCGGCGCCGACACGTAGGCGGTGAGGGTGTGGCCGTAGCTGCGGTGCGGCACCCGCTGGCCCTGGCCCTGCCGCCCCACCTGGTAGTAGTCCCAGCCGGCGCGCTCCACCAGGTTGACGCTGAAGCAGCCGGTGATGACGTTGGTCGGCTGGCAGGAGCGCTTGCCGTCCGGCCCCGGCGCGCGCTGCAGGTTGAAGCCGAGTGCGTTTCGGTAGAGCGCTCGCGCGGCGCACTCGCCCGGGCCGGCGACAGAGAGGGTCTCGATCACCGACCCGGAGGCAACCATGTCTGGCGGACTGTCCGGGTGGAAGCCGCGCGCCACGACCTGCTGGGCGCTGACCTCGGGTAGCTGTAACACGGTCAGCAGCACGGCCAGCAGGACTGGAACGGTCGGGGAGGATGGATCCGACACTGGTCTTCCACGCGCCATCTTTAGACCGCTCTGGAGGAGCTCTCAGCAGCGTCTCACAGCGTCCCTCACACCGGTGCGCCTACAGTTACTGCGGACCGCAGGGCCCGCACAGGCACTCTGAGTGACCAGTGCGTGTGCGTGGCTTCCAGGGAAGGTGGCGATCGATGCAAATTATTTACGCTGTTGGTCAGTTGTCGGGACAATGCCTTGCGCGAAAGATCAATGCCATAGCAATTAGTAGATATGACACCACTGTTCCAATACATCATGTATGCAATGTGTATGAAGGATAATTACTAGGTTTTGACAGGAGAGATGATCAGGATAAATAATACAAAATGACAAATGTATTCGCCTATCATGTACAACGGCAAAACCATCGTTTTGACATTTGGTATTTGAACAGGACAAAGTCCAGTCATGTATTATTTGTATCGTGCATTATTTTTTTCGTCTGTTTTAACTTATGATTTTAAATTTACCTTTAGAGTGTTGTCAAAAAGCCGGTGCCAGGTGGTCGGTATCCAGCAGCCTCGAGGGCCTTCGATGACCCAACCGGGATGATAGGTGGCCCCAGGCAGGGCATAAGCCACCAGACGTAGCGGCGCAGCGGATCACCTGACATAAAGTGTCGGCTGCACGGCGGATCACGTGACACGGGGCGTCGGCGTCAGCTGCGTGACGGGGCGCTCCGTGACGCGGCGGTGACGTAACGCCGGACGGACGGGGAATGTTAGCTCAGCCCCGTCACACAGGCAGGGGAGAGGGGGAGGTAGAGGGGAGTCATAGAGAGAGAGAGAGAGAGAGAGAGAGAGAGAGAGAGAGAGAGAGAGAGAGAGAGAGAGAGAGAGAGAGAGAGAGAGAGAGAGAGAGAGAGAGAGAGAGAGAGAAAGAGAGAGAGAGAGAAAGAGAGAAAGGGAGAAAGAGAGAGGAGAGGGAGAGGGGGAGAGAGAGAAAAAAGAGAGAGAAGAGAGAGAGAGAGAGAGAAGAGAGAGAGAGAGAGAGAGAGAGAGAGAGAGAGAGAGAGAGAGAGAGAGAGAGAGAGAGAGAGAGAGAGAGAGAGAGAGAGAGAGAGAGAGAGAGAGAGAGAGAGAGAGAGAGAAGAGCGTTTGTCCGTGATTTGTATCGAAGCAAATTTTAGGGTGATTGAATACGAAATGCTCAGATGTTGACGAATGGTAGAGGAATGTCTACTCTAATGTTTATAAAATTTCATTTAAATCATTCAATGACTCCAAATGATAAAGAATACAGGATAGCCGCATGCCAAGGGGACAATAAATGACAATTAACGTTGAAACGTATTAGGCACTTATCTAGAATAACAATTTACAGTAACACCAGCTAACCCGGGCCCAATTGGTTGAGGATGGTATGGGGTCCCATATAAATACAGCCGATCACTTGCAGCCTTCTGCCCTGATTATTAGCCCCGGTGGGTTTCTCCACCTTCTACATCATGACGACCTTGGACACTGCAAGTGACTGACAGAAAGTGACCTGTGACCTTTGAACTGTGACCTTTGACCTGTTATCACCGACAACTAGCGAGCATCATTGACATGAGGACGTCATTTTAGCAACCAGTGACCATTGGTCTCTAAAAGGTCACCTGTGACCACTGAACTGTGACTATATTGACCACTGATCGCTGACCACTGACCGGCCACCTCTGACCATTGACCACTGTTCGTTGACCAGTTACCTGTGGCCGTTGACCGGTCAGCGGTAATCGTTGTAATCGGTTATAAATGACCGTTGACCGGTGACCAGTGACTAGTCACCAGTCACCTGTGACCACTGACCACTAGCCAGTGACTGATCACCTGTGACCGTTAACCACTGACCACTGACCGCTGACCACTGACCATTGACCGGTGACCACTCACCTGTGACCGCTGACCGACCGCCGCGGCGTCACGGTCGAGCTCCCTCAGCCGGTGAGTTTCGCGCTCCGGCCGCCAGGGGCGCTCTGGTCGGCGGGCCGGTGGACCGGCAGGTGTGTGCCGGGTGGTGGCAGACAGTACGGTGGTGAGATCGACAGGGTGTGAGCGAGGGAGGGCTGTGAGGTGCGCCAGAGGCCCGGAGGAACAGCGGCACTGAATTCAGGTGAGCAGAGGGGTCAGTGACGCCGCCGGGCATGCTTACGGTGAAATGATAATGCGGCGATATCGGGAGCCGTGAAAAATAATATCATACATATGATAAATAGGATGCATTTGTGTTTCACGTTTGTGTCCTACTGTGTTACTGGTAGTTAGGTAAATAGCCTTCCAGCTAACAGCCATTACCAGCGCTCTGCCACTTGTGCTCCAGTCATTTTTTAGACCTATTATATGAGACACTCCCTTTGCACCATTTTCTGTGACGATGCTAGCACAGTTCCACTTATTGCTGGAATTGGGTTAGAATTTACGACTATTTTCTAATCTCTGGACAGCACAAAGAGAGGAATATTCAGTATGGCTACAAAGGCTGTGAAATGATGAGCCGAAAACAGGATTGTGCGGCTCATTCAGTAGGATTATCTTCTCTCTCCCTCCGCGGAAGCTCCTGGTTCTCTCCAGACCGGTTTATCCCACCGCGGTAATTATCCTCACCGGGACGACCGTCAGGAATCGTGTGTCGATAGTCGTCGAAGTCGTGCACTTAGATGAAGCAAAAAGGCGATATCTGCCTATGTCAAGGTAACATCTGCCATCAGACGGCTTTATCCACTGATAAATGGGGTATATTTCCTCCCAGGTTTGCGATAGTTGGTAGACAGTTATGAACTTCATAGGTATAGTGGTCAACGTGAAATGATCTAAAGATAAGCTGAGTTGAGATGTAATTGCATTCGACATGTACTTATCCGCTGTATGTATCATATGCATGCTAGATCAGAAAACATCCACGACTGACGACGAAGGCCAGTTCAAAGAAGGCCAGTTATCTCCCCCATCATCTGTTTTCCGGTGCTGACTAGGAGAGCCACACCACTGCCCCGCCGGGGAACATGGCGCCACCCCACCGACTCGGGTTCCCCACCGAGGGTCCCGCCCGACACATACCCGACTGAAGTCCCCCTCCGAGGGTCCCGCGGCCCCAGCCGTGTTTCCGGCACCATCTGAATGTTATCAGCCTCCGTTCGTGAGCTGTTCTGTCTCTATCACCGTCCGGTGACCAGAAGGGGAGAGACAGACGGCCGCTGGCCAGCTGGGGATGGTCTACGAGCGTGACCGGCCGCGGCGTGCGGCGCATCCAACGGTACCTGGACGGTCAGACGGCTCACACCGCTGTGCGGTGTTTCCCGTGATCACAACGCCGCGCAGTGTTCCTCGTATTCCCCGTCCCGGATCGAGGGAATGATATGGGAGAAAGACCTCAGAATGATGTGAGAGAAAAGCCTCAGACAGCGGTGCCTCACCTAAGCTTGGATAAGCTTGTGGTTAGCAGTTTATATCCTCATTAAAGTACCGACGAAGGTAATCATGTGATAATGAAGTCAGGAAGGCCAATGGAGTCGGTGGGAAAACGGCGCTCAGCTGTGCACACCGTAAAGACGTGCTTTGGGTCAATATCAATACGGCCTGCGACCATACTCAGTCATGATCACCGTGATAAAGGTGAAATATCGATGTGAACTGAACAATTCTAGCGGGAAGATAACATTTCATATTTCAGTTAAAACTGCATTTAAATTCGTATTTTATCCAGGCTCACAGTCCCTGCGTTTGCTCGTCAGACCGTTGACCTGTCTGACTGGACTGCGAGGTCGACCGATGACGGCACAGGTGTCTACTGTCTGTAGGGGTAGGGGCACACCTGTGGATCCACCGTCAATGGGATAAGTTGGGGGCTGACTCATTACATTGGAACTTGCATAAAAGGCAGCGAATTCTCATTAGCTGTACATAATATGGTGACTACATAACCTACGTTTATATGGATTAGATGTAACAATATTGAATAAGTTCTCATTTTATGATTTTGACAAAAATTTATTTAGGATTCAGTTAACGGCAAGCTAAGATGGATTGGTTTTTACTTCAATTGAAATATCATCATCTTGGATTTCAAATGTCATGTAATAGATATTCAGCTAATCAATGTTAAATTAGTTTTAAATTAATCAATAAAAAATAATCATCAGTCAGTTAGTGGCCAAGAACGGATCAAATCCTGGAAAGAAAATGTGATCTCTCTCCCTTACTCTCAATCTCTCACTTGTCTTCTTTCTTTGCTCTCCTC